TGAGTTCATATGCATCACTTCTTTTCTTTTCTTTTTTCCATTTCTTTTCCTTTTTCATAGTAAAAGTTTATGAATACAAAAATCGATCATCCTATCACATAAGGTGAGTCCCACACCCATGTAACTGGGTTGTGTACTGCATTCACATAAGGTCAGTCTGGTTTGATTTTGAAATTAGATTTCGAAAAAGCATATGACTCTGTGAATTGGGATTGCCTTCTATCTATGATGAGTAGGTTTGGATTTGGAGCAAGATAGAGAAAATGGATTCAGGAGTGTGTTTGTACTCCTAAAGTTTCTGTACTAGTTAATGGGTCTCCTACGGTGGAATTTAGCCCTGAAAAAGGCCTCAGGCAGGGAGATCCCTTGTCACCTTTCCTTTTTAACCTGGTTGCAGAGGGTTTAAATATGTTGATTAAAAGGGCAGGTGAATCTGGGCTTATCACAGGTGCTATTATTGGTCAGGAGGGGGCAAGCACAACTGTTTCACATTTACAGTTCGCCGACGATACTATAATTTTTTGCAAGGCTGATGTGGGGGAGGTTATAGCATTAAAACGAATTTTGAGATGTTTCCAATTAGTGTCAGGGCTGAAAATAAATTTCCATAAAAGCTATGTATGTGGAATTGGTGTGATTGTGCAGATGGTTAAGGACTGTGCTGGTGTGCTTAATTGTCAAAATCAAAGTCTTCCTCTAGCTTATCTTGGTTTGCCTCTTGGTGCTAGCCCTAGATTGAAGAAAACTTGGAAACCAGTGATCGATAAAATCAAGGCCAAATTAGCATCTTGGAAAAGGAAACTTCTCTCTTTTGGGGGTCGTTTAACTCTCATCAGGTCTGTTCTGTCCAGCTTACCTGTGTACTACTTATCCATTTTTAAGATGCCCCATTCTGTGATTAAGACAATTGAGAGTTTGAGGGCAGCTTTCTTATGGGGAGGGTCCGAATTAAGAAGGAAGATTCATCTAGTTAAATGGGAGGAGATTACTAAAACAAGGGACCAAGGTGGGTTGGGAATCAGAAGGCTAAAGGATGTGAATGGCTGTCTTCTAGCGAAATGGCGGTGGAGATTTGGTGTTGAAGATAAATCCTTATGGAAAAGGGTTCTGTGTAGTAGATACCAGTATAATGGTGGGAAATGGTTGCCTTTTCCTAGCTCTGATGAATATTTATCTAAGGTATGGGGAGGGATATTAAGGGTTGGCCAATCAAACCCTCAATTGAAGAGTATCTTTCTTGATAACATTAAGCTGGTTGTGGGAAATGGGGGCAGGATTCAGGTTTGGTTGGATCATTGGTGTGGGAATCAGTGTCTCATGGAAAAATTCCCTAGGCTGTTCAGTTTATCAACAGAAAAAGATATAACTTTAAGTGCATTATTGGAGAGGAAAAGATTATCAGGGGTCTGGGAATTTAAGTTTCGAAGAGTGTTGTTTGCGTGGGAGGCCGAGGAGTTGGAAAGGTTAGTTACCTTAGTTAATCAAGTAGAGTTGGGGGCTGGGGACAATGAAGATTGTTTGAAGTGGCTGCCATGTTCATCAGAACAATTTTCTATATCCTCCCTTTCAAAAACTTTTGCAGATAGTCCTTCTATTCTGTGCACTGGTCTGTTATGGTATAATTTGGCCCCTCCGAAAGTTCAGTTCCTTGGTTGGTTAGCATGGAAAGGTAGATTGAAAACAACCATGTTTCTGCAAAAGATTGGCGTGCTCAACCAAAGTGCTTCCATTGATTGTGTTCTTTGCAGGAATGATGCTGAAACAGTTAATCATGTTCTTCTTTGGTGCCCTTTTGTTTGGCAAGTATGGTCTACAGTGTTAAACTAGTGGGGGATTCAGTGGGCTGTGCCTGGTAATGTTGAAGGGTTGCTTCATTGGTGGATGGGATTTAAGTGGAGAGAGTTTGAAGATAGAATTTGGAAAGTTATTCCTTGGCTGTCATGTGGTCTACTTGGAAACTCAGAAATGAAGTAGTTTTCTTTGGGAAGCAGCTTTGCCTTGCAGAATTCTGTGAGTTGATTTTGGCTAGAGTGGCTTTTTGGGTCAAAGCTCATTCAAAAGGGTGTTCTTATTCAGTCCAGGACATCATTCAGAGATTACAACAAATCTGGTATGTATCTCTGTCTTAATATCATCGGTGGTGTTGGGTTGCTTCTATTCTCTTGTAGTTGGTGGAAGCTGGGGGTGTTAGGACTAAATTGGTGGTTCTGTTAGTTTTCTTTGTATGGTGTGTCGCTGTTTGTTTTTCTGGGTGGGGTGTAGTTCTGTTGTTTTGTTTGGTTGTCTTCTTGGATGGTATCTCACCATTCTCTGGTGTGCTTTTTTCCTTCTTTGTTGATGTATTCATCTGTATTGTTGAATCTTCATCAATAAAGTGGATCTTTTTTGCTGATCAAAAAATTGTAGTAAAAATCAAAGTTGTTAATATGCATGTATGAGAGATTGCTGCATCTTGTTCAAGTAGGAGAGATTACCAGAACTCAAATTCTAAAAGATATAAAAGGGAACATTCTTTTCCTCGTGGCTTGGCTTGGGATTGCTGCAAGGAAAACATAAAATATAAAAATAAAAAAAAATTAACAATTGAGGTTTCAACACAATGTTTGAAACTTGAAAAAAAAAAAAAAAAAACGAAAAATTTATTTGAAAATATATAGCAATCCTCATACATAATATTTGTAACAAGAAGGTCCCCAAAAAAACATGATCCGCAACATTTCTAAATGGACATTTTTCTTTGATGGGAAACTCAAGCATCGAGTTTATTCATTTATTGGATAAAACTCAATTCTTGGCTCAAAACACACGCATGTAAATGCCACAAAGCAACAAGAACATTGTACCCTACAACCACTAGATTAGTTAGAGGCAGAAGGTGCAGGTCTAATACGTCAGTTAGCATTACTTTTGGAGTAGATCGTGATGCCAATGATGAATGGAGTTCTCCTGAATGCTTTTCCCATGATTGTTTCCAGTGCTATCACCCCACTTTTCAATCACAACTATGGTGTAGGCAAGTTCTGCACAAACAAAAAATCAATTAAATAAATCATAGACTTCACTTTCTCTTTAAATAAGTTAATGAAGTGCGATTCCTAAAGTGTTTTTATTTATCATGAATAATTGAGTTAGAGAAAAATAATTACTATTATTTAAACATTTTAGCTCAATTTTTCCCACTTTATTTAAAATTAAAAATAATAATAATACCTATAAAGGAAAAAGTACTTTTGCTACCTCGGGCAATATATCCATAAGTTCCTGCAATTATGGTTTGATTTTATGAATTCAGATATAGCAATCTTGCAGTGCCAAAGTTGAAACAAAAGCCTCCAATTTAGAGTGCAATAGAATATTGCTGCTTGATATGTCTCGGTGAACAATAGGTGGATTGCAATCATGATGCAAGTAGGATAGAGCATGTGCTATTGCTTTAACAATCTTCAACCTTTGAGTCCATCCTAATTCAACATCTTCGATATCAATCCTCAAGGCACAAAACAAACTTCCCCTTTTCATGTACTCGTATACCAAGAACATGCATCTGTTGTGCAAACAGAACCTTTACTATGTTTCGGTGCCATATATTAGTTAACATTTGCGCCTCATTTTTGAAACTCTTGTCGAAAGTGGGCTCTTTTGCTTCCAAACGATGAAGTTTCTTCAAGGCAACTACTTAGCCACTTGGCAACTGAGCTCCGTACACGCTACCATAACCGCTAGTTCCGATGCAATGTCTGATGTCAAAGTCATTTGTTGCTTTGATGATGTCTTCATATGTGATTCTACCATCATAATTCCATATCGAGCAAAACATCTTGTTGATGAATCTCGCAACTTTGATTGTTAAAAAGAGATTAAAAAAATAAAATAAAAATAAAAAAGTGAGAAGAAATAAATAAGAAAGGCAAAAGCAAGGTTGTACACCACATGTATAGGACGGCAGATTCCAGTAGCTTAAGATAGGAAAATGTTGCAGGAAAAGCAATGTTACGGTGCCATTTTCAACTTGTGCACCCCCATTTTATTTCTCAGAACAACATAGAAGACAGAAATTCTCAAGTTTAAATTGATTTTGACTATGTTGTCGGGACCTGTGGAGCCTACACAAGTCCTATTTCAATAATTCAAACTGTTTATTTGTAGTACCATTTATGTATCATCTATGGAAAAAAAATTAGGTCAATCCAATAATTATAATTTTTTCATTTTATTGCAATTGTCTCTAAAAAAAAAATAGATGGTCTATTTGAAAAAAACACACTTGTGATCCATTTTTTCGCAGACAAATGCAACAAAATAAAAAGAATATGATTATTTGATTTATCTAATTTTTTTTTATAAAATTCTCATTTTCATACTCAACATTTTCATTAAAATCCTAGTTTAGTTCCACTTTTAATTGTCCTAAAAAAAAGTAACATGTGGCATACATACCGATTTTTGTTAGTCTCATTAAAATCATATAGATGAAAGGATAACATTACAATTTAACACAATTGAAAGTGAAGGGATTAAATTTTAATCAACCCTTTTTTAATGGGAAACTAACATGATTAGATGACTAAAATTATTATTTTGGTAATGGAATTTAAATTAGAATTAGTTTTCCTTAAGGTTATCACAAGTTCCCCTTTTAATTGGTCTACGGAGTGCATGAAAAATTTCAAATGCACATATCATTATCCTTGAAATAACAAAAACATTAAAAAATATATATAAAATAAAAATCACATTCACCATGAAATGGCTGATTGCATACACAAATAAAATGATAAAGATTGAATAGAGTTAAATTAGTTCAAACGATAGAGATAAGATTATGAATTTAATTTAATTGTGATTGTAGGACCATGATGAGTTAACACATAAGCTGATACATGAAAAGTGGTATAAAAAAATGGTATGTGTAGCATTATTGAAAAAGATATTTTTGATACTTAACATTTCAAAAAAAAAAATTCTTGATGGGAAATTCATGCATGGACTTATTTCTTTATTCATGTAAAATCCATTTCTGGATTCAATAGATGTTGTAGTGAAATCACACGAAAAGGTGTAGCTAAAGTCTTCTTGCAAACAAGCAACTCTTGAGATACGAATAGCATTGTTGGACGAGATCTTGGCTCAGAATGCACACATGCAAATGCCAACGCAGCAGCTAGCACAATGTTCCTTACAACTGTCAGATTAGTTGGATACGGAAGGCGTGAGTCTAAGACATCACTTAGCATTATATTTTGAGTAGACAACGATGCCAATGATGAGAGGAGTTCTCCTGGATGCTTTTCCATGATTGTTTCTAGTGCAACTACCCCAAAGCTATAAACATCGGATTTTTCAGTCACAACCATAGTGTAGGCAAGTTCTGCACAAACAAAAAGATCAATGAAAGAAACCATATTTCTATTTAAAGAAGCTAATGAAGAGTGATTATGTGAAATATTTATCTATCACGAATAATTGAGTTTTAAAAAAAAAAAAAATTTGTTAGTTACTTAAATTTAAACATTTTAAATGTTTTTTTTTTCTTTAAAAAATAAACTACATATAAAGGAAAAAGTACTTTTGTTATTACCTGGGGCAATATATCCATAAGTGCCTGCAATTACTGTTTGATTCGATGAATCGGGATATAACTGCCTAGCGGTGCCAAAGTCAGAGACACAAGCCTCCAATTCAGAGTTCAATAGAATGTTGTTGCTCGATATGTCTCGGTGAACAATAGGTGGGTTGCAATCATTATGCAAGTAGGATAGAGAATGTGCTATTGCTTTAATAATGTTTACCCTCTGAGTCCATCCTAATTCAACAGCATCAACATCAATTCTCAAGGCACAAAACAAGCTTCCCCTTTCCAAATATTCATACACCAGGAACATGCATCTGTTGTGCAAACAAAATCCATAAAGTTTCACTATATTTCGATATCGTATTTTAGTTAACATTTGCACCTCATTCTTGAAACTCTTGTCAAAATTTGAATCCTCAGCTTCAAAACGATGAAGCTTCTTCAATGCAAATACCTTGCCACTAGGCAATTGTGCTCTATGAATGCTGCCATAACCACCTGTTCCTATGCAATATCTAATGTCAAAATCATTTGTTGCTGCGATGATGTTTTTGTAGGCAATTAATCACTCTTGCCACGCTTTGGTTGTTTTTAATCTTGGCCCGACAAAAGAACATAAATCCAATTAAGGCAAGAAAAATTGCAATAAGGGGAAGGGAAATGAAGAGAATAAGCATGACTTTTTTCTTCTTTAGATGCGCATGTTGAGATCTATGTGATATTTGATCCTCGAAAGCATTGTTTGACAAGTCAACAGATCCATGCCGTCCCGTAAAACCAATGGGGATTTCACCAGACAGATTATTGTGGGAGAGATTTAAGTACTCTAATGGCAAAGATGCTAATCCAGTCGGTATTGGTCCATTCAAATAGTTGCTACTCAATCCTAGGTACAACAAATTGCTGAGTTGTTCTAGCTTCTTAGGGAGAGGCCCGGTGAGCCGATTATGCGAGAGATCTAGATGCCGAGCTCCATTGGTAAGTTGGAGGTTTAGTATGTGGCCTGAAAGTTGGTTCAATGACAAATCAAGCTCACTAAGGCTGGGCAAACCCCCATGATCAGGTGGTGCCATTCCGTCCATCTGATTTGCAGACAGATTAAGAGAGTAAAGATCTGTCAATCGATCTAGAGACAATGGAATTCGACCTGTGAGGAAGTTGCTACTCAAGTCCAAGTAAGACAAGTGCGTCAAATATCCTATTTCTAGAGGGATGGAACCGTTGAGTCGGTCTGAAGAAAGATCTAAAAATGTCAAATTGATCAATTCACCCAAAAATGAAGAGATTGAACCACTAAGTATGTTATGACCCATATTAATCACTTGGAAATTCTTTAGTTTCCAAGTCTCTTGAGGGATGGAGCCGCTAATTCTATTTGAAGAGAGATCTAGAAAGATCAAATTGCTCAATTGACCAAAAGATGAAGGGATTGGACCACTAAACATGTTATCATGCATAGAAATTTTTTGCAAATTCTTTAGCTTCCATATTACTAGAGGGATGGAACCATTGAATCGATTTGAAGAAAGATACAAAAAGATCAGATTGGTCAATTGACCAATGTATGAAGAGACTGGACCACTAAGCATATTTAAGCTCATATCTAGGCTAACCAAATTTTTTAGCTTTCCTATTTCTGGAGGAATGGAAGGTTGATATTATTCAAAGAGAGACCGAGAGAAGTCAAACTAGTTAACTGACTAATAGATGACGGCATTGGACCATTATCCAACTTAACCTAATTGTTTAATTTTCCTGTTTCAGGAGGGATAGAACCACTTATATGATTTGTTCCCATATCCAACTTAACCAATTTCTTTAATTTTCCTATTTCATGAGGGATAGAACCACTTATTTGATTTGTAGAGAGATCCAGAGAAGTCAAATTGGTTAATTTACTAATTGACCAATACCTGAAGGAATGGGACCACTGATTTGAGTACCAGATATGTAAAGTTCTACCAGTTGGGTGAGGTTTCCCAAGGTTAAAGGTGTTGGAACAATCTTCTGTGTAAATAAAATAACAAAAAACAAATTCAAATAAAATAAATAAATAACCTACCGGATTTATTTTATTGAACCAAATAAAATTACAAGACCAAGTCGAGTGTGTGACACTCTGTCCTTAAGACAGATTCGCCCCGCTATGGTACTTACGGTTGAGTGGCGTCTATCTCCCAGGATACAATGATCTTCACAAATTGTAGTAGTACTCCAAACAATTTGTTCGGCGAACCAAACCTGTGATCTATACTCTCTGAATATTTATTCCTAAAATTAAAATGAAGAATAAAGCAAAAGTAGGAAAATCTGGATAACACAAAGGAACAAAATATCACTAAATTTTCCGAATGCCCAAACTGCTGGAAAAGTTAATATATATATAGGCAACCAAAAAATGTTCCGAACAGGTGCTATTTAAGTGAAAACGTTGCACACCAAATTTAAACATTGCACCCATTAAAGAATGGAGGTTTTTTGTCCGTTAGTGGAAAACAAATGCCTGTTGAGCAACTGTTCCAAATTCATTTACATAAACTATTTTGAATATATATAAATATATATATTAAAACATTTGAATATATATATATATATTAAAAAAATTAAATTGTTTAATAAATAAATGAAAATGTACAAACATTTAGGAAACCACTTAGGAATTTAGAATTAAATTAAATTCTTACAAAGACAAAATTTTTTTAGGAAACTAAATAGGAACCCAAAATTTGAATTTTAGAATTAAATTAAATTCCCACAATAATTTTTATTGAAAAAATTCAAATGAATTTTATCTAAAAAATTAATGTAAAACCCGAAAACGACGTCAACTTCCCATTCACTCATAAATGGTTTTGACGTACCGTCTTCACCGTGTGACTTGCCACGCGGCAAGGAACACGTCACCTCTTCGGACCCACCCCAAAACACGTTTGGGGTCCACCCAAATTGGGTTAAAAATATGCCTATATAAAACAATTTTTTCCAACAATCCCCCACATGAATGGAATTTGACGGAGAGAAAATGCAACAACATGATCTAATTACAGAGAGTACAGAAATTGAAAATATTCTGCAAAGGATAGGTAGCTTTTGGCTTTGAACCTTCCCTTGTGAGACACTATCGGATTTACTAGCTAACCATGCAAGATGGGTTAACTTGGCTTGTATTCAGAAGTCGTGGAAGCTGATGAAGATTGGTGTGCTTAATTTCTCTCGCGCTGTTACTAGAGCAAAACAAAAGGCCAGTATACCTTAGGTCAGAAAGGTGAAAAAGAGTATATACTCTGTGGTGGCTGCTGCTGCTATGAATTACTGGTGGTGTGGGCAGTGATCTTTTTCAGTTGGCTGCTGCTGCTGATGTTCTTTCTTTGATGTCTTTTTTTTCTGCTGCTATGGTTTGTTGCTGGTCTGTATGGGCAGTGAATTGTTGTTGTTGTCCTGTTTCCTTGCTGTTTGGTAGCTTTGGTTGTTCGGTTTGTATTAGGTTTAGTTAGATTTTCATTAGGTGGGGTTGATTTTGGTGTTTGTGGTTGGTTCTTTACCAATTCTTGATGTTGTGCTAGCATATGATTAGATTTGATGTCATTTTTTCTGCTGCTATGGTTTTGTTGCTGGTCTGTATGGGCAGTGAATTACTGTTGCTGTCCTGTTTCCTTGTTGTTTGGTAGCTTTGGTTGTTCGGTTTGTATTAGGTTTAGTTAGATTTTCATTAGGTGGGGTTGATTTTGGTGTTTGTGGTTGGTTCTTTACCAATTCTTGATGTTGTGCTAGCATATGATTAGATTTGATGTCATTTTTTCTGCTGCTATGGTTTTGTTGCTGGTCTGTATGGGCAGTGAATTACTGTTGCTGTCCTGTTTCCTTGTTGTTTGGTAGCTTTGGTTGTTCGGTTTGTATTAGGTTTAGTTAGATTTTCATTAGGTGGGGTTGATTTTGGTGTTTGTGGTTGGTTCTTTACCAATTCTTGATGTTGTGCTAGCATATGATTAGATTTGATGTCATTTTTTCTGCTGCTATGGTTTTGTTGCTGGTCTGTATGGGCAGTGAATTACTGTTGCTGTCCTGTTTCCTTGTTGTTTGGTAGCTTTGGTTGTTCGGTTTGTATTAGGTTTAGTTAGATTTTCATTAGGTGGGGTTGATTTTGGTGTTTGTGGTTGGTTCTTTACCAATTCTTGATGTTGTGCTAGCATATGATTAGATTTGATGTCATTTTTTCTGCTGCTATGGTTTTGTTGCTGGTCTGTATGGGCAGTGAATTACTGTTGCTGTCCTGTTTCCTTGTTGTTTGGTAGCTTTGGTTGTTCGGTTTGTATTAGGTTTAGTTAGATTTTCATTAGGTGGGGTTGATTTTGGTGTTTGTGGTTGGTTCTTTACCAATTCTTGATGTTGTGCTAGCATATGATTAGATTTGATGTCATTTTTTCTGCTGCTATGGTTTTGTTGCTGGTCTGTATGGGCAGTGAATTACTGTTGCTGTCCTGTTTCCTTGTTGTTTGGTAGCTTTGGTTGTTCGGTTTGTATTAGGTTTGGTTAGATTTTCATTAGGTGGGGTTGATTTTGGTTTTTGTGGTTAGTTCTTCACTAATTCTTGATGTCGTGCTAGCATATGATTGGACGGTCTTATTGGTGCCAACCTAGTTGGATTGATTTCGTTTGCTATGATATTTTTTGCACTCATCCTCCCTTTTGTTTTATTGATGTAATAGTTTTTTGTTTCATCAATAAAGTTCCTATTCTTTGCTGATCAAAAAAAAAATTACATGTGTGAATTCAGTGTTTAAAAATACATTAAATAATTTTTGAGATAAAAATATACTTTAAGAATAATATAGTAGATATTAGATACATTTTAAATCTAAATCTATAATTTCTTAATTAAAATTTACAAATTTTAATAAATATACCAAAATAATATTTGTACATATATTTTCTATTTATGTTATAAAAAAAATATTTAAAAATATACTTACAAATTAAAATTTAAATAAATATATTGGCCAAGTAACTTATGGATTGGATATAAACCAAGATAATTCTTTAAGGATTAGGCTTGAGCCAAGAGTTGTTGTCATAAAAATTGGCTCAAACTCAGTTTTTAGGCTATTTTTAGTATTTAATTCAATACTGAAAATTTCAAACTAATTCATACCCATCACAACTTGAGAAACTATGATAAAATGTAAACATAAAGTTCAAATTTATTATTAAGAAATATTTTTACTAATCAAACGATCAATTTTTTAGATTAGTTGTAAGGCTAGGGTTAGAATATGGGTCAAAATTTAAGACAACCCGATATTAGATAATTTTTCATACATAAATATAACTAACAACTATATATTTTAGCTAAAAAGTCAAAACTCACTATAAGTTATCACATCACTCTCTGTATTTTTTTGCACATCTTCTTGGAAAAAGTCAAAAAATTACTAAAATAGTTTGTTTCCAAACAAGGCCTAACTATTCATTTAATAGTTCTAAACATAAATGCACTTTTTTTTTTTTTAAACCCAAGTTCAGTTTTTCAAATAAATATGCATAAATATGTAAATATTTTTGTTTCTTTTTTTTTATAAAAAATACTTACAAATTCCAATTTAATACTACTTCTGAACTATGTGGCACCCCCTGGACATGGGTCACCATGGCCCTTATTAGGCAAAATGTTAGTGGCTCGAGCGAAGACACTTAAGGAACACATGCTTATCAGTCTCGTTGTTCAAGCAACAGATCCTACGCTCGAGCGACCATCGCGGCCATGTTTGCTATAAAGCTGTTTTTCTGTCATAATTTAGGGTACGGCTTCCAGATCTTCTTTAAGGCAATTAGGGTTTTCACCTAGAGCATCTTGTTTGTGTGGAATGAGACTTGTGAGAAGTCATTTCAAGAGCTTAAGGTTAGACTTACCACTGCTCCAGCGTTGATTATTTCAAAGAGGGATTTGGCCTATTTTGTGTATTGTGATATGTCTCGGGAAGGTTTGGGTTATGTCTTGATGCAAGATGGGGGAAAGCAGTAGCTTATGGCTCACGACAGTTGAAAACACACAAGAAAAACTATTCTACTCATGACCTAGAGCTATAGTAGTTGTGATTTGAAGATTTTGAGACATCATCTTTATGGTGAAAGGTTTGAGGTATTCTCCGATCACAAGAGTCTGAAGTATCTGTTTTCACAAAAGGATTTGAATCTGAAGTAGAGGAACTGGATGTAATTCATGACTTTGAGTTACACTATTATCCGAGGATGGCCAATGTAGTGGTCGATGCCTTGAGTAGAAAACCCATTAGTAGTATAGCTAGTATTGCCATCCGAGAATTGGAGATATTAGGCGCCATTGGCGAGTCCGTTGAGTAGGCAACTTTGTTTATTGTAGTTGTACAACCTACACTTGTTAGCCAAGTTTTGAAAGCACAGCGGGGTGATCATGAGGTAGAATCCATCCGGGAGAAGATATCTAGTTGGGTTGTGATAAGTGGTGGATTTTATCCGTGAAAATTGATTTTTAAAGAAATGGGGTTTTGCCCTAAATTGTGAAAATTTGATTTTTGTAAAGTGGAAATGAAATTGATGTTGGTTTTATTGAATT